CAATGAATATCATGAACACCTTTGTTTATATGTAGTAAAGTTTAAAAGAAGATAATTAGATACTTTTAAAAAGTGTTATTTCATGCCAACCTCCTGATTGATGGATAAAGCAACCAGGTGATTCAGGTATGCAGTGCTACTCACGTGCTTCAAGGCAGTGAGGTTTTTCTCGTTAAGTAGCTTACAAAAATACACACACTAAAAATAGAAAAGAAATGTAAAAACTTCAACACACATCTGGTTTGTTCCTTTGCTCACCTCCAGACATGTCCATCTTATTGCTCTGTATGGTTTCCTCTGGCGATTCTCTCTGAAGTAATAAAATGAATCAAGATTATTTAATAATAGTCTTTTTTACTGAGGAAGAAAAGGCACAGGAAACAGTGAGGAAAACAGAAACAAAAGAAAAACATGAAAAAAAGACAGACAGTTAAGCATTCCCACCTCTGTATATTGTGTGCGAGGGGAGAGTTAAAGCTAGGCAAAGGTGTAATACTTACCGCAAAACTGAGATTTGTGAATTGCTTAATGAATGGATTGATCCATGTCTCATCTTGCTTATTTCCACCTTTCATTATTCCCTTGAAAATAAAAAGGCATTCCTATGATATTTGAAAGACTTTCACCACCTACTACTTAAATTACACCAGAAAGTGTCAGCTAACATTAAAGCCCAATATTCCTCCACTCTGTGCAGGGGTCAGTTCTGACTTACTCCACAACAGCAGTGTGAAACCCTTGGCTCAGCCCTCAATGGGAGGTAGTTTACAGAGCAGGACCGTAGTTCTCACGAACCCCTTTCTTCTCCTGCCCTCCTCTCCACGGCCTATTTGCTTTGTCCCATTTGGGCCTGATATCCAACAAGCCAGCATTACCTTTGTAGGCATTTTTTTCATATACGGTGGCCAATTTAAAGATGGGTTAGTTTCTTGTGATGAACTGCTATTCCACATTCCAATCTCTACATCCTCCTCTTCCTCCCAGCTGGTCTGACGACTGCCTGTCAAGGGCATATCCTCTCCACACCAGCTATCTTGCATAGATTTAGGCCCTGGTTGCAAAAACAAACAAAAAACATCACGTGAACATTTCAAACAATCTCAATGCAAGTCAGCTATTACAAACTAAATATGTCATAGCAAATAGCATTATTTCATCATGACAAATTCCAGACTATGAACACTCTTGATGCAGGGAAGAAATTCTCTTCTGCATCAACTTTGTTAGAAAATGCAATAAAAATGGTATTAGCCTCTGATCAACTGATTGTCCTTACAACAGGAAGAACTTAGCTTTAGGTTTATGTCAAGATACAAGCCTTCAAAACATTCCAAATATAAATCTTCTAGATTGCTACTGCACCTTCCTCACCTGTTCTTTATTGAAACATGATGAAAA